AGTGTTATCGATATATTTGATGCTGGTCTTCAATTTCTCATCATCCATTGTCCATAACCGTAAAATATTTAGAGNTCTTCAATTTCTCATCATCCATTGTCCATAACCGTAAAATATTTAGAGCGCATTGACTAGTTGAACCTTCAAAACCAGCCTTATGTAGTTATCAATTAGTTATCGACACTGCTTTTATTTCGATTAGGAAAAGTTAATTTTAAAATATCGGAGAAAATGCGGGACAAAGGCAGGACACTTGGAAAAAATCAGTACATTTTGGGGGTTTTCCGTTTTGAAAAACTACGCAGGACAGACCTTTAAATAACAGTACGGTCCTGCAAAAAACAAAACGGATGGTCACCGTAGTTATATTACAAAATAATTATGCGTTTAAATTGTTAGACCAAAGTGCATTATAGTAGCCATCCGAGGCACTGCTCCAATAATGTGTGGGATATGTATAGGATATATTTTACCAAAAATTTACTTACAAAATCATAATTATTGGAAATTATCGCTCAAATTTTCCAATGAATTTAAAACGAAAGGTCAAAGTAAAAGCGAAACATAGAAACAGTGATATCTGCGCATACTTTTTTCAAAAAACTGTCTGCTCCATTTTTTGTTACACTTTGCCCAGAAACGAAATTGAAATAAATAGAGTAGGCATTACTGTAACGCTGGTATGCCCATGATACAAAAAAGAAGGTAGTTTTATTACTACTATTTTTTTATTATAAAGCAGATTTTTGACATTTCTCCAGATGTAAACATTAAGCATAGCTTTGCCACATTGAAATATTTTGATAGGGTAGATTTTCTTTTAAATATTTGGGAGTAAAATTTACATACAAACAATAGTAAGTTGATGTGTTCGATAATCAAATTTGAATGTTTTTCTCAAACGTTTAAAAGATCATTTGAATAATATCGATGTGAAATAAAATAAAATCTAGTTTTAAAACATTTATTTATTAAAAAGCTGTTTTTCATTTTATTTTAAACAAAATAAATAAATGTACATAACTAAACCCTTTTTGTTGAATAGTCCGAATAAGGTGTATTGTTAGATATTTCGTCATTAAAGCATAGTCCGAAATCAGGATTCGGAGAAGGTTGAATGGTCTCATTGCCCTCACAATGAAAGTAGTCACAATTCAGAATTCTCCGGAAGTGAAGTATCTATAAGTAACTCTGGATACAAAACTATCGTGGAAATCTAACGAGGAACAAACCTCTAAAGAAAGGGCAGCCAGCATTTTGGCAATGTAAACTGGTGTTTGGTAAAACGTGGGGTGGTCAACATAGGGAATCCTCTGGATTTATACCTCTATGATCAGACCCATAATTAGCTATGCGTCAATCGTATGGTAGAGCAGATTCTCAATCAAGAGCGTGGGAAGTCTGCTTGCAAAACTTCAAAGAACTACTCCCGTGTGCGGTACGAAAGATTTCTCTACAACACGTGGCTTTGCTCTTGATGCACTGCTGCACTTACCATCACTTCGTGTCTCCATACGTGGCTTCCCCTGCAGACTAAAAACAAACGGATGCTGGTATAACACTGAGTGGGGCCAGGCTGAAATTGCTAGCGGCAGAGATCTGAGCACTTGTGTCTTTTCAATGCTACAGGATAGTACGCCACCATTACCTTTGTTGAAGAGATTCTATAATGTTGAGTTCTCTGAGGCCGAATGCTGGATTAATACCAGCACTGAGCCCGGACTCACACATAATCGAATATTCACTTATGGATCCAAAACTGACTCTGGGTCAGGATCTGTGGTCATTATCGGAGTTAATGGGGATAAGATTAACTTTTGTCTTGGCAATTATGCTTCGGTCTTCCAGGCTGAGGTATTTGCAATCCTCAAGGATATGGACTACGAGGTGGAAAATAGGTGGAGAGGAAGGAGTTTACGTGACGGCCAAGCTGCACTTAACGCACTACTTACTTCCAGACTCTGAGTGCCAGTTCAATCGGGAGTACCTCCGATCGTCCATAACTATAATATTTATAATATCATGAATTTAAATTTTCGTTTTTGCGCATATCGAAGACAAATTTCCTTTTAATTTTGTAAATATATTTTTTACAATAAATAAATGATTATTGAGAACTAGGTATGGCAGCACGAAATGTCACAAGCTGCTTAATTGTCGGGTAGTTAATATAGCGCCCGAAAAGTGACAATGAAACTACCTTCTTTTTTGTATCATGGGTATGCCGAAATTGCCAAAACAACACCACCCCCTAAGTGACAACACCTTATTATTATTTATTATTTATTTATTTATTATTATTATTATCAACAAACAGGACGCTTACAGACTATATGACAAATATATACATAGAATAAGGGAAGCCCTTATGACAAGTGCCTTATGAGTAAATTCTTAAAAGTAAACTTTGAGTAAGAAAAAGAGCATTAAATTGGGAGAGAGTCGTCCTTTAAGGAGCATTCATACCATAAACAGTTTTGACAACACCCACAAAAAACAATTCATTACAACGAAGAATACGTGAGGGCACATTAAAACGAATTTTCATAAGGAGGTGCGAGCAATCTATAGAGCCTACAATTATGTCAAAGACAAAGCACATCGATAACAAAGTACACCTGGACTCTAAGCGACATGAGATTTATCAACAAACAACGAGAACTATAGGACGGAATAGGATCTACAAATTTCAACGGACGCAAAGCAAAGTGTATAAAAGCCCTCTGAACAGACTCCAATCTGTTCACATGAACTGTATGAAAAGGTCTCCAAACAAATACAGCGTAGTCTAACCTCGACCGAACTAAAGCCGAATACAACAGTTTGAGAGTATAAGGATCGGAAAATGACGAGCAGTTGCGACGAATAAAGGCCAGCGTTGCCATTTTTGCCGTTTTCCGGCTGGATTTAGCCGGATGCGATAGCAAACAGCCGGAAAAATTCGATTTAGCCGGCAGCCAATTTGTTAGCCGTTTTGCAAAAAAAAATTAGCCGTTTTTAGCCGATTTTGCTCTTCGCCTTATTTTATTAAAACTCAAATATACAAGTTTTTATTTTTACAAATTTAGTGCTCCAAAATCTATTAGAAATGGCTAGTCTTATCTCTGAGAAAATTTTCATGTCGGACTGTGTTATATAAAATTGAAAAACAATCAGATAGTGAGCCGATTTCAATGTTTTTACAAATTTTGTTTGTTTTTTACAAAATCTATTAGAAATGGCTAGTCTTATCTCTGAGAAAATGTTCATGTCGGACTTGTGTTATATAAAATTGAAAAACAATCAGATAGTGTGCCGATTTCAATGTTTTTTGTTTTAAGCGAGTGACCCAAATATACATAAACTGGGACGCGTCATTTTAGCTGATTAAAAAGTTACAAGTTTTGCTGAAATTTTGCAGAATTTTCATAATTTTTACACCAAGTGTGTAATCTGTTTGTAGTATATGTTGCTTGTTAAGTAATGAGCTACATATTCATAAAATATAATAAATATTAAATAAACTAAAGAAAAATAGGCAAAACTTGCTTCAATTTTGCGTCCCAGTTTATATTTGGGAGAACGTAGCTGGATTTTCCTTCATAAAATTTTTGTTATGAATGTCTTAAATTTAAGTGTGAAGTTTTATTCGCTACACTTAGAAAGTAAAAGAGCACGAATTTCGATGTGGAGCAAAACTCTCTGGAAAGACAATACATGGTGCAAACATACTTTTTAAATTTTATAAAATAAAACTGCAGTAGTTTTCATCTTATGTGGATAATTCTTGTGACAAATACATAGTTTCGTGCTTGTATTTTTGTATATATATTTTTAGCAGCACCACATCTTTATCAGAGAATTCCGAGAATCCAAAAATTGGTACTGTTACAAGTTGCAGGCATCATTTTAACTCGACCTCTTTCCTGTCCCACGGATAATGGTACATCTTTCAGAGGTTTAAAGATATTTTGCGTCAGCA